ATCATATTCTCTCGCCAAAGCTCAGTCCTGTCAGACTTTCAACCAAAATTTGGTGTTTTTGTTTGTATTTTCATTTAGTTATTTTGTTCAAGCAAAATTTGGTGCTTTTGCTCGTATTTTCATCTAGTTCCTCCACGGCAATTTGATTTCACATTTGTGTTTAAAATGCCTTTCCGCCATTTTGTTTTGGGAAAATCATTAATTGTACTGCAGTACAATTAATGAAATAATTGTACTCCAGTCAACCAATCAACATCCAGTAATTTTGTCATGCTAAGTTTCAAAGTTTGTTTTCTGCGTTTTACCCTCTTTTCCGCGTTTTACCCTCTTTTCCGCGTTTTACCCTCTTTTCCGCGTTTTACCCTCTTTTCCGCATTTTACCCCCTTTTCCGCGTTTTACCCCCTTTTCCGCGTTTTACCCTCTTTTCCGCGTTTTACCCTCATTTCCGTTTCCGTTTTTCCGGTTCCGTTCTGTCTCCGCGTTTTACCCCTACCCTATTTGAAATTTACAGTAACATTTTCAAGCATGTAATTTGATACTTTGCCACTCCCCCTTGGGCAATTAATTTTTGTAGAGTCACGTGACCAGACAATACCAGGGTCTTTCCCAAAAAGACCCTGGGTACGAGGATGGGAGCAAGTCTAGTTGTAAAGACAACGCCCCCGTCCCCTCCCCTCCCCCACCCCAATTCAATGTTGAAAGTTCTTACAATTTTAGTTAAGGATGCCCCCAAAATCAACATTGAACGGGGGAGGGGATGGGGGTTCAGTTCAAAAGCATATTTTGCGTTGAATCTGCTTTCCCTGAAGAGAACAATAAAAACATGCGAAAATTTTGGGTTGTCCCAAGGACTTTTGGCCAGGATTGTAGTTGTATCTAAAAATAACATGTGGGCGTCCCACGGTCTAGACAGGTTTTGTGTCAGGCTCTATTTCAAATTAGGGCCTGAACTTCAGGTTAACTTTATTGCAAGTTTGTAAACTAGTAAGAGTCGATAAGTACAGATATTCGAATAAATATTTAAAATATTGGTAACCCCAAGGAGTCCGTTGCTTTTATATACTTAAACCTTTGTAAACAAACAGTTACAGCTAGTAATAATACAATATTTTCAACACATTCTATAAATGCGATAAAATCTGCCTACACAAATTTGGCAATGGCCAATGTGCCATGGTTGAATTGCATCCCAACTCTTACAATTTATACATTTGAAATCGCCATACAATGGTAAAATCTGAATAAAATATTTTGTACGTGCTATGTTATCAAAATGTAAATCATGAATGCGCACATATTTGTATCCGAGTTTTATTATGATTAATCACAAAACTTAGATCGTGTATAAAAAATTATATATTGTATTTGTTTATTACAACGGAAAGATACAACGCTGAAGAATTTGACACGTACTGCTCTACTCCCCTCTAGTTTTAATTTTAGACGGTAGATACTGATCATAGACTAGTTGTCGTTCGGCATCACAAAATATTTATAATACTAGGAGTTACTATCGCAAGGAAAATGCTGCCGATATGTACATGCAGGATGTACTACAACCAAAAAGTGTCTTTTTCACTGTATAGGAAAACGTGCAATTTGAATATCAAACACCTTGCACAAAGTCAAAGCAGGGCCGTGTCAAGTGGTTTTTGGTTGGGGGGGGGGGATGAAATAAAAAATTTGGGCCCCCTCCCATTTGGCCCCCCCTTAAAAACATTTTTCCAGAAACCAAAGAATTTTTCTGGAAAATACTGGGGAGGGGGGAGGCCCCAAAAATGTTTTCAAACACTAGGTTTACATAATAGGGGCTTAAATTTAGTTTTGAAGACCTTTTTAGTAATATTTAACACGTTCCGCTTTCCAGGGCCCCCTCTCTGCAATTTGGGCTCCCTTTTTTACTTTTCTTTGGGGGGTGATACCCCCCCCCCCTCCAGGTGGCACAGCCCTGAGTCAAAGGTCGGCTAAATGTTCTAATTCTACTTTCCTGGCATGGGCAGTTTTATATGAATACCTTGAATGCTTATATAAACTTCTTGCTTTTGTACATATAATTATAATATTGTCAGTGGCAAAGCTAGCCATAGCAACAGGTCATACTATGCAAGTTTTTAATGAATTGCATCATTCAAATAAATGCAGGTTTATTAGCATATAGCACATTCAAGCACAGGCATACTCAGTACTGAGCATGACCAGTTGCCATGGCCAGCTTGCCACTGAATACAGTGGAATGTTGATATAAAAATACTAAGTCAGTTTTTGTTCCAATTATCATATTATTGCCACCTTCAGGGGCATCACCTAAATGTCTTCCCCCCCCCCTCACTTTTTAACAATGGTCGGTATAATAGTACCACAAAGTCAAATGATATTATTTCAGTTATGCATGTAGACAAAAGGTATTTTATAACATTTTGTTACATTTAGAACTTTGCAAATCTCCTTCCAAAGTGCATGAAATGGTATTTCAGAGAAAATTTCCCCGGGGACGTGCCCCCGGATCACCCATAGAATTTCACCTGCTGTCACCCACCTTCGGTGGGCGCTATAGTGTGCCCCCCACTTTTACAACTGCTCTGATGCCCCTGACCACCTTCAAGGCTACCTCTGTCACAGAACAACTGAACAATCTGATCGGGAGACAGAATTTATTTATTGACATTTTTGTTTAAGCTTCAGATAACACCATTCAATATTAATTAAGATCATACTCAGTCAGAACTGCAAAATCATTTATAATAAGAATGTAGACCAGTAGAATTATTTTATATTATGCTATAAACAATGCCAATGGACATATCTCAGATATTTATATATATAAACAGACAGTCATATCTTATACAATAGTCAGTGACACTTGACATGCTATATTACATCACTGATCACATGTAATTGCTGGTAAGTCAATATGTGCAGACAACAAATAATTGGGTTGCTGTAGGAATCTTGTTATAGTAAGCCTGATGAACAACATCCCGCGTTTGCTTGTATACTATAAACATCTAGGATTAGAAACGGAACGTACCGAACACTATTATAAACCCATCGCCTTTGCACTATATATTAAGTGACATAACAAACAAATAAACTAAAAGTACATTTGAGTATTTGACTCCTTGTATCAATATAAAGGCATTATATTGACAAATAGATCAGTGGGCTATTATTAAAACTGCCGATATATTCTTGAAATCATATTGTTTCAATACCTCTATATCGAAGTTTAATACACTAAACAAGTATAAACAGCAGATTTAAATATAAATGCATTATGTATATCACCAAACAGGCCGACACGAGTCACACGACTACACGAGAAAGAAATAAAGCCATCCTTACCTGAATTATTCAAAATATTGTCCATCGTTCATGCCAGTAATATAAAATAACAACGTGCTTTATTTACCCATTCATCTTCACAGATATTACTCGAAATTTTATGGCAATTCGCATTATTTTATGATTATATTTCTGTCCGTTTATAATAGTCGCCATGTTGTGAACAACCCCCCGGGAACAAAAAAATAATATCAAAACAGCTAGTTTTGGCCCGTCCGTGGATGACAAAATGACATAAATCGAGATTGTAGCAGCTATAAACTCGGCGGTCACGTGGTACGCACACCACGTGTAGAGATTAGTGTGCTGCCTCGCTAACGCTCGGCAGCAATTATTCATTTCTTTAGAAATTCATTGTTTTCACAGTCAAGGAACACGAAAATATTTGCATAGCGAGACTAAATCGTCGGGCTGGCTATACGCTACTGTTTGAGTCCCTATATCCGTAGAAAGAGCTCGTCCCGCATTGCATACAGAACCTTCGCGTGGTGAAATTTTACCAATAAAATAAAGTTGTATACACGCACAAACCTAGGTACAAAACAAGTATATTTAGTTTTTGAGTGATATTGTGCCCCATGTAAGGTATTATTTTTCTAAAATTGCTTGTGTTTCACGTTAATTTATTTTCTCATAGATACATGTACAGGTTGTGCCCTCCAAATTGGTATTGCTAGTTTTTGCCAAAAAACGCAAAAAATAGGGGAAAAACACCGATTTTAGCCAGGTTTCATGTGCAAGTGTAAATTGTACGATGAAGGCTACCCAGAGAATGAACATCAGACTCAACATTTCTTCTGTACTGTATATATTTTGCTATAATGGTTTGTAATCTATCATTTTTAGGGGTGCACCGGATTTGGAATTTTCAAATCCGGCCGGAACCGGATTTACCGGATTCGGACAAATATTCCGGCCATATATATTTTTAGTTAGTGTCAGTTTAGATTTTTTATTGTGTTTAAACCTTTTTTAAATATCTTCTTGTTAATAACTTAATATTTTATAATAATGTTAAGTGTTTTTTAAACTTTAAAGCTGCCAAATTGATGGTTTATCCCATTCTTGGTCAATATTTTAAGGTGAAAACAGAAATTTAAATCCGGCCGGATTTTCTCCAAATCCGGCCGGATGCCGGATACCGGAAAATTCGTTAAATCCGGCCGGAATTCCGGCCGGATTTGAAATCCGGTGCACCCCTAATCATTTTTAGGTTTTGAAAGTACTGTACTCTAAAAACTGATAAACTTAGTAATCAGATTTTTCTACGACACTTATTTCGAAGCGTAAACGTTATATTCTTTTCACAGTAAACAAGAATTTTGTCATGTTACAGGTTGTGCCACCAAATTTTCGCAATTTTGAAATAAAACTCCAAGCATTTTCAAGTCGTTGTTAAAGTTTTGTCTGTGTTCAATTTCACATTTTATTATAGCTATCAGACGACAATTTGAATCCATTGTTTTGCTCTGTTTTGTTTTCCACTAAAATAATCGATATTAATATGGACAGGTTCCATCAATTGTACAAATTGTGGCAATAGAGAAAATGAAAACATTACTCCAGCTTTTGTGGTGATTTGAGGCCCCAAACAGCAGCTGTAAAATCGTCTTTCGAGGGCTTCCTTCATGTTCCTTTCGCTTTTAAATCAACTGCGTGGAAACACAAATACGTTGTCCCACAGAATACACGCACAGTTTTCGCGCATGTTCAGACAATTTTCCACCTGTTGCCAATGCTCGAAGCACATCCTTCCGCCATTCATCAAGAGTGCAGCGAAAGGCAATCACAAAAGGCCAATAAACAAACCCACCCACTTTTGGGGAAAAAAGGTTGACCGCTCTACATTAGGAATTGTACGCAATGCGGTACTATACAACCAATTAGAACAGGTTTCCGGACGTTAACATCTATTTTTTCGTCACGCACATCACTAACAACTACATATTTTACAATACCTCAACTGAACAGTAAAGTAAGCGTTATAACATACCTGTTTTTCAGGTCGTTCTTCTGTTTCTTCGTCTGACCATTCCCAAGAACCGTCAGAATTCTTACGAAGACGGCCACTTGAACCTGGTACTCTTTTAACCTGTTATAAGAATAAAGGTAAAACTTTAAAGGAATTGCACCTTCAAACAGGATTTTAGGGTTTTACATCAGATAGTGTAGTGTGCCAAACAAAGGGTTATGGAATCACTTTTTGATAAAATGAGTTTCTGAGCTGCCTCCTCTACATGTTTTTATTTTTGGTACATATCAGTGGCATATATAGATCAGTGGTTGGTAAAAAGATCAGTTGTGATGCATAATAGCAATCTAATCATATGCACGTCCCCTTTGAATTTACAAACAACTAGGGACGAGGGAATTTCTGAGCAAAATTTTTCAACAAGTGATGCGACACCCCCAAGTTACCATTTCTACACTGCTCAGGACAACAAACAATGTAAACAATAACAATTAACTCAATATTGTTAACTTCTTCCCATCTTTATATAGATCATATACATTTTATCCTATACCGACAAACATATTTAATTGTATCCAACGTCAAAGGGACAGTTTTAGAAAGAGAAGTCCTCAGATAAGTTTTTATGTGTAGAAAAAAAAGACGCTATGTGTTCATTCGTACAATAAGCAACACACAATTTAGTGTTGAACAAAGAAACTAATGTTAATAAATTCTTGCTAAATTAGTAATATCCTTATGCACGCGCAAAGTAAACAGACAACAGTCAATCGCATTACCTTTTGAGACCGTTCACCAAGAGGTGGAGCAAGAGGAAGTAATATCTCTTTCAGAAATTCTTTATTCTATAAATAAAATTAAATAAATTGTTTGCGGAACATACAGTAGTTCCTTCTCGTTACGCTAATGAAAGAAAAAAATACAAACATCCCTGTGCTAGGGATGTGCCAGAACCGGATACTGGCAAAATATACACATCCGACAACATGCGATACCCGGTAAAAATTTGCTGGCTGGAACTTTATAACAAACATACTTGCAGGGAGGTTTGCACACATTCTGCGAAAACATTGCCAAGATTTATATAAACCCGCCCGTGCCGAACAAATTTCGGCGGCCATCTTTCTTCTCTTTCACTTTGAATGCAGAATTAATATTCCATTTTCATCAAACAAAATTAATAAAATAATAATTATAAAACAATTAAAAACAGTTAATTTATTTTTTATTTAAATCTTCGTCTGAAATTTGTTCAAATCGCTTCATTATGGCCGCCGCCGAAACATCGATCTCGAACCCACCTCCTAAACATACGTCAGCAGGTGGGTTCGAGATTGAACGCACCTCCTCGTAGCCAATAGGAAAGCCGCTAATACGCTAGGTATGAGATAATTATTAGAACCATGAAACCGTCTGTTTTGCGTTAAGATACAGTAATGTGAAACACTAACAACTATAGTCTACCTAACCATACATGTGACACATTAAAACGCAATTACAGTTGAGTTTTTTTGTGATGTAGATTGTCTGACGATCCTTGTGCTATCATATCATACTAAACAGACAATAGACTATTTTATAACAAAAAGTGACGTATTGTCCAAGTACCACCATCAGTATCCGGTTATTATTCGGTTCACTACTATCCAGTACCATCCGGTATCCGGCAAAGCAGTATCGGGAACATCCCTACCCTGTTCGTACACGGAAATGAAAAAGCGAAATGCAACAGCAATACTGTAGAAGGAAATTAAAATAGCAAATCGTAATGCAACAATATTTTATAATAATAACGGAAAACAAAATGGAATGAAAACGGCACTACATAAAATAAAATTGGTACATATGACACAAGTTAGTATGTGCCTTAGTAGGGATCGATTATCTCAAACGGTCTGTGCCGATAATAAGATAACTGCGGGACGATAATAAGATAATTTGAAAAATAAAAGCAGAATCGAGGGGAATTTCACTCCAGAAACACCGCACACTTTGCAAATAAAACCCCCTAAAATTGGAAAATCCATCCAAATTTGAAAATCCGTTCAAGTCCTACAGTAAAAAATCCGAGAAATCCACAAAAAATCCCGAATAAAAAAAATCCGGAAAAGTACGGAGCTATCCGGAAAAGTACGGAGCTTCGTGGCTTGTTTTGGAAGCCCTGGATATACACAGTGTCACACAGTGTATGTTACAGTATAGTTTCAACTAAATCATCGTGTGGCAGTATTTGCAGCATCGGTCAGAACGGTATTTACTCCAACTTCTTGTCTGTGAAACTATTTTTCACAATTCAAAATAGTTTATCGTGTCTTACCCTGGCCTTCTTAAAGAAAGGGTTTTTCAGAAGTTCGGATGCATCAGGCCTGTGAAGAAAATTGCAGATTTGGTTTTAGTAAAACAATAATAGAGGATAGTCTTGTACAATCCCACGAAAGCGAGCATCATAAAGACACCTCCAAACTATAGAATATTTCCAAAACGTACAGTATATAAACTACGCACCTTTGTTGAGGTTCCTTTTGCAGGCATAGGCTGATCAGCCGCCTAAATGGCCTTGAATACTTTTTATAATCATCATTTTTGCTATCAGATATCGTTTCCAATGTCGGTGGGTCATTTTGTAGCGTTAACATGAGAACCTTAACAAAATAAGTTATTAAAATCCATTACAGTGTATAACAATAGAAGAAATAATAGATACCATAAACATGGGAACCAGAGTGAGTATACAATAGTACCGGTAGTATTTTGCAATAAACTATGTTCGTTTTGGTTGAAACGTCAATATTTTTTCCATGCAGTTAAAATAAAACCTTGTCAGTTATACTCAACGGACAAGGTTTCATTAGTCGATTTGACTTTGAATGGTTTAGAATGTACTGCATTCTGAGATTCAGTATGTACAGTAGTGCATAATTATGCGTTATTGTAAAGCATAAGTGATCATCGGCTTTCTAGGTAAACGGAACAAAGAAAACGTTTCTAGGTGTTGTTGGGTATAAAATCGTGAATGTGCTGTTGAGCTGCTTCGCTCTTGGGATGATTAGAACACCCCCACAGGCCCCACCTATAGCAAAAGGAATCGAGTGAAAAACTAAACCACATGGATTTAGTTAAAAACCACAGTACAGAATGTAAATGTTCAAGTGTAAAATAGATGAAATATATGGAAGTACAGTATATGCATGTGAAAGGAGATGAGGTGAGATATAGAAATACTGTCAATGTCTGTTAATATACAGCTAAATGTATAAGAAAAGCGCTCGCAGAGGTCGTAAGCCTGATTGTACCTTAAAGCAACTTTCAACAAGTTCCGAAATATCACCAACTCGAACCGACTTGACTAGTAGCTCAGTTGGCAGAGCATTTGACTAGTATCCCAAAGGTCGCGGGTTCGATTGAACTTGCTCTCAATTTCGCAAAACAGCTATTAGTATCCAGTTTTTGATATATATAGTTTCTTTGGGTACTTATAATGTAGAATAATAAAAAAAAATTCTCGAACTCAAATTTTGTAAACCAGGGGGGTGTGTCTTTTCCAACAAACTAAAGATGGATTGCGCACGAAATGTAAAAGCTTTATTCATATTTTGAGTTGATAGATGGAAATTCGTTGGGTTTTTAATCACTGTACAAAATTTCAGACAATTTGCTTTAGTTTAAGTTCTTTAACTATTCATTTTTTTCTAAAAAAATAGCCTTTCGCATGCTTAATTTGCATATTGCTGACATATGCAAATTAGGCAAAGGCATTAATTAGCTAGCATGCAAATAGCTGTTTTTTTAAGAAACATGCAAGTTTGCGTGAATGTAGTTAAAGGGCTTAAACTAAAGCAAATTGTCTGACATTTTGTACAGTAATTAAAAACCAAACAAATTTTCCATCTATTAACTTTTCCATCTCAAATTTTGCATCTATTACATTTCATGTGCAAGCTATCTTTAGTTTGTTCGAAAAGACACACCCCCTGGTTCACAAAATTTGAGTTCGAGAATTTCTTTTCCTTTTTCTACATTATAAGTACCCAAAGAAGCTATATACATAAAAAACTGGATGCTAGTAGCTGTTTTGCGAAATTGAGAGCAATTTCAAATCTGTTCAGTTTTTTTTTTATACACTCTTGTAGAACGTTTGCACTCATCTTCCAACTCAACAAAAGCCATGGCGGCCATGTTGGTGTTCCAGACAGAAGAGTCTAATTAAAATTCTTTGAAATTGGAACACCAACATGGCGGCTGTGACGTTATGTGCAAACGCTCTATATAACGATATTTTCGTGCTTACTTTCATAGCCGGAAATTTTGCGTACGGTGCCGTTCCTGTGGCGAGTTCGATAGCTGTGATTCCAAAACTCCAGATATCAGCTTTATTGTTATACGCAGTTACCTAAATTAGAAAGAGTGAAAATGGTGTTGCATTCACTTGTAACTTAACTTTAATTGCACATCGAATTTGCATGCAAAGACAAAATGTCACGAAGTTATAAAAACACAAAAAAACACATCAAAAACAACTGCATGTACATGCTTATATGCAAGGATCGTTTAAACGTCAGGCGAACACGCCCAATATAACGAAGAACCAAAATGAAATCTAATTCTTTCTAACCAGAACAGACATTGTTATTACAGTACCAACAGGCGAGACATAAACCTGGCCACATTTCGGTATTACAGTATATATGGAAGTACTAAATTGAGCAGTTTCAACAGCAGTTTTCAGCATATTTATAGAATTCAGCATTATACATCAGTATAAACATGGAAATAAATCATCACTAAACTGCAATAGCACAATATCTACTATTAATATATGGAAAACTGTGGAAGGGTTGTGCCTAATTTCTAGGCAAATAAGAATAGGTGTTATTATATGTAGCTGCCCCGTAACTGCGGAGTTAAGCCTGCTAATGAAGGCTTGGTGGGGAAGAGTGTTGTTACTGTACTTCAGGGGTGACTACTCATTTCTGACTTGGTGTGCTTGAAACTCATGTTAGTATTGTTGTAGTCGATTCTCCTGCGTGCATCGAGGGGATTTTTCCGTGAACTTCGGTTTTCCTCCCTCATCCAAACCTAACCCTTCCACCTTACAGTAGCTGTGCTCCGTAAGCAGACATGCGGTGTGTGGTGGCAAACAGGGCGCTCCCAGCCCTTTCTCCAGCTGCTAGATGATAAAAGGTTTACATAAAAGTGAACGTTTTATATAGCGCATGGGGACGAGGCAGGGGCGCTCCTTCGATCACGTTGGAGATGCGTCTTTCACAATTCCGTTCTCAAGGTCAGACAATTAGCACATCCGCGATCTATATTGAACAAAATAATTAGTCTCATAAACGCAGTTAATTTAATATACACACAGTACCTGTTCCATAACTTCGGGAGCCATCCAACATGGCGTACCGACAAACGTTGTTCTTTTCTCGGGTCTCGTCCTATCACCATACGAGTATAATGCAGAACTAACACCAAAATCTGAAGAAGAAACATCCAAAGTGGAAACAATCCCCATATCATTATATGGAAAAATAACCGAACCAAAAGACAACGGCTAGAACTTTCTTTTAAAAATGTTCACCAGAAAAACAAGAAAACTGTAGAATAATGTACATGAATATTGATCAATCGATTTTAATTTCTTGTTCAGGTTAATTATATTTCTCAGTGTGTCTGATCTTGTATTATACCCTTTCACATAACAGGCAGGATTAAATTAAGACTGAATCTGTGTATTAATCTGATAACAATTAAAACAGTAATCTATTCTTTTTTTCTGTGTTGCGCATGGTGTTATGTACTCAGGTGAATACGATGTTTGTGATGTTACTCTGAGTGTATATCCGCACTGGGCCACCGTGGCCAGGCATATTTTTCAAGCTTGCCCGGTGCGGATATACACTCAGAGTAACATCACAGACATAGTAATCTATTCATTCAGACTGGAACAACACTCTAATCAAATATTATGTTATACAGACAGTGAATTTCCAACAATCAGAATTTAGTACATACGATTAAAATATGTAAAATTTTAGATACAGTGTAATTTCATTGGTAAATACTTAGAGATAATCAACTGATTCGCAATCTCGCTGATCAGGCTCGCTACCCCCAACACCTGCTTTAGTGTGGTTCGGGGGAAGAGGGCGGGTAGAAGTAAAATGCACTTTTTCGTACCTGCTACTTGAACTGTGCCATCGGTACCAAGAAGAATATTGCCAGCCTTAATGTCCCTGAAAAATTTTCACTTTCCACATTAATATTTCCACATGAATAAACCCGAAGACATAGTGTAGAGTACTGTACAAATTTCAATCACTTGCTCGACAGTGGAAAATTGATGTTAGGTAAATCTAAGTTAAACTCACTTCAGGTGGAAACGTTTGTATTTATTTAAGCTACAGCCAGTCCTTGTGACTTGTCTCTTGATTTTAGCTTACATGAAGACTACCCGACCATATACTGTATTGAATTTGATTATTTGAATTTGAGCACGACGTACAGTATACCTGTGAATTAAGCCATTACTGTGAAAATAGTCCAATCCCTTGAGAACTTCCTTTAAGACAGTCGCAATGATAACTTCATCAAGGACTCCTCCTTGTCCTTTGCCTAACTTTATTTGATATCTGACCACATCCAACATAGAACCTGTACGAAAAGATCCGGATGTTTAGCAATTGCATTATACTGCGCTTTTTACTTGAGCTTTGAACGCCTTTTGCCAAGATATCAAATTCATTAATTATTTTAAATAACTTTTTTTCGTAGACGCCTGATGAGATCGTGTAAGATTTTACTACATCCCGGGCTTTCTTTGTCAGTGCCCGCAATCACAATTAGTATTATCAGCAGTAGATGATGATAACATTGAGAGCTTCCTAAAATCCTGATGTTTGAAAGAAAACATCTTAAAGCCAAATAAATTATTTAATACTCGACGTGAATTTATAACTTTGTTAAACTGTGACTTTGTCAAACTGTTAACTATTGGGTTTTCAAGATATTTTTGCTTCTAGTCAGTTTATTTGATCCAGATATATTGCCTTTTTATTTTTTTGACAAAACCTAAACACTGTTTATGTTTTTACCACTAATTTCACAGATTTTATATGATCTAGTAACATTTATAGCAGCCCAAATAAAAATAACCAAGTAACTAGACAGCCGGCAGTCACCGTTCGTATTTTGTAGTTATATAAAAACTTTGTTTGCGGTAACTTTCAGCAAGCTTGCCATTAGCGTACATGGTAAAGGCGCTGCGTGCGAAAAGTGAAACGTAGTGCGGGTCGGGTCCGACCCTGAGTGTTTATGTCTGACATTTCTTCCTTAAAATTGTTTTTATTTCTTTTTTCTGCCTTTTTAACTCTCAAAAGTTAGGCCGGTTAGAGTTAAAGTGATTTAAAAATGTTTTAATCTGTTTGAATATTGAGTTGCAAACTCAACCGCTGATAATACTAATTGTGATCGCGGGCACTGACAAAGAACGCCCGGGATGTAGTAAAATCCTAATAAAATACTATGTAGGAAACTAAGTAACTATCAACATTAGCATATGAATTCATGTTTTTCATTAATCCATTAAGAAACGGGTGTTGTATATATGGTACACGTGTCGATGATTCAAACAAGAGAAAATCATATTTTTTCAGTCGAATACTGGCCAGGTAGCCATTCCTTGATTGCGGATAATATCGCAGACTTGTTACTTTTATGAAAGTTTCAGAGGTAAGCTATTAACACTGGCAAGCTTTACGACAAACTTTATGAATTGTGTTGAAGTGTAAAATGGCAGTTTCGTAACTCGCAAGTGACTCGCCACTCGTAACTCAAGAGTGACTCGCCACTCGTAATTCGCGAGTGACTCATCATTCACTCGCGAGTGACTCGCCAAGTGACTCGCCACTCGTAACTCAAGAGTGACTCGCCACTCGTAATTCGCGAGTGACTCATCATTCACTCGCGAGTGACTCGCCAAGTGACTCGCCACTCGCACACTTATATAACCAGTGAACTCCAATAAGACTGGAACGATAACTCAGGTAAACATGCCCATACTTGCCTGAAGGCGACCGTGCAAGGAAATTGCACTTTTAAAAGGACTAAGGAGAGTTTCGAGGAGTGGCAAATTCAGTCAAAGTTTTATATTTTCGACGAAAATGAGCAAAAAAGTCGTTTTTCATTAAAAGACTTCAATTTTAAAAACCCAAATACGATTTATTTGATAGTTAGAACTGCTTTGCATCCTACAACAGCAAAAATTTGAAGGGTGTCAGGTTTGTTTTCATAAAAACGACACTAGTTGAACGTGCCGAAGTGAACTTTGCTCTTTAACTAAAAAAAAACCAACTTTAAAACGTAAGTCTACGGACCAATACCTTTTTTGTATTAACGTCTAGGTATAGTTGTTTATTTTGAGTGCTTTTTGACTTCTCTAAAACGTGAATAAATCGATTTTTCCGATTTCCCCCGTGATTTGCGATTTGTAATTTGGCGCCCGGGAGAAGTTCGCGCGCTGTGACATTCAAAAAAGAACTGGGGGAGTTCAATTTCCTCGTAATTTTGTTTTTTTTTAGCAAAAATACGCCGAAAAATTAGGTTTTTCGTGCGAAGATTTCAATTTCAAACATTCAAACTTGGTTTTCTGGATAGTTCTAAGTATTCTACATCCACTAACAGCAAAATCTCGAAAGGTACCATTTTTGTATTCAAGAAAATAACAAAATATTTTCGGTGCCGAACAAAATACGACTGTCAGGTACACAAAAAATAACGTTAAGTCTTTTTTACGGCTTCCAAACATGATTTGTGTAATAGTCCAAGTATCGTAGATGTTTTTAAGTTTTTTATCTATGTTCTAGCATAGCTAGAAAGGCAGAAATCCGAGTTTTTCGAAGAGGTGTATTTTCGCCGCCGTACCTCCAATGGCGGCCTTCAATTTGGCTTCAAAGATGGCGGCCGAGTTATCGTTCCAGTCTTATTAGAGTTCACTGCTTATAACTCGCGAGTGGCGTCATGATACTCGCAGCCGGTACTGCCATGTATAGACTTTAAGGCTAGTTTGTAATTTACATCATTATACCAAGTCTCGTTAGTTTAGTTTTAGATTTCATACATTAATTATAACAAATATAAAACATTTTCCGTGTTGATATACAGTTATATCAACACGAGTGGAAATTGGGAAAACGAGAAATTGTTTTAATTTCGAGTTTTCCCAATTTCCACGAGTGTTGATATAACTGTATATCAATACGGAAAAAATGTTTTATATTTGTTTTATAATATAGCACAAAGAAATATGAAGAAATAAATTTTCAAACGTTTCCGTGTTGACATTGAGTTATATCAACACGGCTCTTAGCCAATCAGCGTTCAGAATTTACAAATGCTATATTATAATTACCATTAATGTATCTAGATGTAGGAGATGTCAAATATACAAGTACAGTACTGTAGGCATAATTAAAAGCTACTCTAAATCACATAATATAAATCAAAATCATATCACAGTAGCATAAAAAACAAAATGTTCAACAACTCTGTAAATTATAATATATATTAGAGTACAGTAGAGAGCTTTAAATCTGGCTATAAGTGTGTCACTTAATATGACAAGATTTGCTATTTAGATGCTTGTCACAGTTGTATTTTGCTTCTGTTAACACAAGAAATCAGGCAGAGGTGAGTGTTTTCTTTATTTACAGATACAATTTAACAAAATCAAAACATGCTGAAATACAAATCTAATAAGTTGCAATTTCATGCCAAAATTACAAAAACATCCTAGGTCACAGCAGCATGCAGAGAAAATATAAATTAATAAAATCACCATTAAACATACCTCCATCTAGTAAGCGCATGACTATCCAGAGTTCTTGTTTTACAATAAATGATGTATAATAATTGACAACATTTTCATGATTACACTGACACATGGCACCAATCTCTTTCTGAAATAGTAAAAACCATTGAACACAATATACATTTAACTATGAGTTATTATATAATACCTTATTAAATTCTAATCATTTAATTGGCTGTTTATGGTCACGTGATATTGAATAAAAAATTCCATTTCCCAAGAGTGCAATGGAACACGTTCCATTGCACTCTCCGCGAGTGCAATGGAATAAAACGTATAGTACAATTGCACTCTTTGTGTTTTCGAGAAATCGCATCCCTCAAAATGCTTCTCATACGAATCTATTAGTCTATTTTGGTATTATATAAAACAAATAATGAATGTTTCTTCGTGCAATGGTAAGAATATTTTCATTCGGTGAAAGATGGAGAGTTCCATTCAACTCGGCTGTCGCCTCGTTGAATGGAACATTCCATCTTTCACCTCATGAAAATATTCTTACCATTGCACGAAGAAACATTCATTATTTGTATACTATACAGTATGCTAATGTGGTATATTGGCATTACTCTATTACAATTATGATTAGCATTTCTATGGTGCAAATTTACATGTGGATATGATCAAATTCGCTTTACATCTGATATATTTTCAAAACATATCAGGCCTATTAAACATTTCAGATATACTGCATTCCAAAGGCATGGAACTCTGTTGATGAATCCTTAAAATTATTAAGTAATAAAGCATTTAAAAGACAATTTAAAATATCTCCGATAAGTTTATATTAGCTGGTTCCCTAACTCAAATTACTATAATTTAAAAATAACAATTTTGTATTAATAAATATGTGTGGCAACCTGCTCGTCTTATTGACCAGATAGTTACGTAACATATTTATATATATATACATATATATACATATATATATTTCAATTTAAGTAAAAAAAAGCACTGATATGGAGCAACTCATGCAAAGATCTGAGCTATATTTATCTTCCGTGGATGTAATGCTATATTTTTTCGTAATTCTGTGTTGTATAAATGTATTACTTTAGCAGATCACCTGTCTTGATTAGCCCCTTATGGTTATAATAGGTCATCTTGCACACTGTCTTTTGTAAAACTTTCTTTTTTTCCTTTTATTAATTGTATTTTTCGTTATGTAATTTATGTGTGCAATAAAGATTATTATTATTATTATTATTGGTCTTGACAAAAACCACCAAATGTACTGCGTTCAGAAAATGATGACTATTGCTATTAGAACTACATATTACATTTTTTGCTGCCGAAATAAAGAATGGGAAAATCCGGATTTACTAACAATTTGACTTATCTGATTGTATATATATATATATATATATATATATATATTGCATGCACTTTGTTCTGTTATTTTAGATTAGTATTGTGTGATTCAAATAGCCAACCGTAAGTTACCTTTATAAGAGAGATTTACGATTGCATATGTATGTAAAGAAAAACATTTAATAAAGTTTTCATTATTATTATTATTATTATTATTATTATTATTATTATTATTATTATTATGGTTGCGACCTATGCGATAAACACGTATAGACTGCCAACGAGATTGTTTGTCCTTGGTGGTCAGGAAATGAAATCATCGGAAGGCACAACGCAAGGCGATCCATTGTCTATGGCTCTATACGCGATCAGTCTGCAACCACTTATTACACGCTTACACATCACGTCTTCTACAAAGCAATACTGGTTTGCTGACGACGCTAGTGGAGCAGGGACCGCAATACAGCTGAAGAAATGGTGGGATACATTGATAGAAGATGGTCCTGAATACGGTTACCACCCCAAAGATGACAAGTGTTGGTTGATTACAAAACCGGAGAAAGAAGAGATTATAAGAGAAATATTTAAAGAAACAGAGATAAATATCACGACAGAAGGAAAAAAGGCATTTAGGAGCAGTTGTTGGTTCAAGGTCATACCTGAACGAATATGTCAACGAAAAGGTGGAAGAATGGGTGAAAGAGATAATCAATTTGGCTGATTTTGCAACAACACAGCCTCAGGCAAGCTATGCAGTTTACACTTTTGGGCTGAAACATCGATCGACATACTTCCTTCGAACATTACCTGATATTCAAGATCTGTTGCAACCATTAGAAGAAGCGATTACAAAATTCCTCCTGCCAGCTTTGGTTGATCACAAATGTTCCCCACTAGAGCGCGAAATTCTAGCCTTACCTGTTAAAAAAGGTGGTATTGGGGTCACAAATCCATGCATTGAAGCAACATTGGAATATTCGGTATCAAGAAAGGTAACAACACTATTGGTGGAACAAATTCAAGAGCAAATACACGAACTTCCTGATGATTCAGGAGTACATGAGCTGAAGCAAATGGCACGAAAAGAGAAGAACGATACTTTAAATGTAATGGCTAGATCCGTCATTGACTCGGCACCACCGAAGATGAAACGAATGATAGAGCTTGCCTCAGAGAAAGGAGCCTCCTCCTGGTTAACAGTCGTCCCTGTATCCGAGATGGACCTTCATTTAAACAAGCGGGAGTTTAGAGATGCATTGAATTTGAGATATGATTGGCCGTTCAAGGATAATCCAACAAGATGTGCATGTGGAGATCTTTTCAATATCGACCATGCTATGATATGTAAGAAAGGAGGTTTTATCATTCAACGCCATAACGAATTACGAGATCTGGAAGCTGAGCTGTTGAATATTGTCTGTAACGATGTCCAAATTGAACCAGCTCTGCAAGAAGTAAATGGTGAAGCGCTAAATTCAGGGTCAAACAAATCGCAAGATGCCAAATTGGATGTTCATGCACGTGGCTTTTGAGAAAGACAAAGATCTGCATTCTTCGATGTCAGGGTATGCCGCCCAAATGCGGAATCTGATAAAGAGTTAACCCCAAAGCAGATTTATCATATGCATGAAAATGAGAAGGAACGAATGTATAACCAACGAGTTACTGATATAGAACAAGGAACATTCACGCCGTTAATTTTTACAACAACTGGTGGTATGGGTGAAGAATGCAAGAAATATCACAGTCGATTAGCAGAGTTAATTGCCATAAAGAAGGGAGAAAAGTATTCAAAAACAATGGCTTGGATAAGAGCAAAGATATCATTTTCGATCATTAGATCTGCTCTCCTATGCCTTCGAGGATCGAGAATAACGAGAAAGAAACAATGTGATGTTAAAGATACAGACATAGATATTGAGACAGAAATTGCCAGAATATACTAGTAGTTAAACATTTTATTTAAAGGATTGTTTGGTTTTAGAAAAACAAACTTAGAACAAAATGATAATTTTTTTAATATTATCAGTATAGACCAAATCATATATTTCTTTTATATAATGAATTTTAATCTTAACTTTGTACAATTTTATCGAGCTTCTAAACAATTAAATTACATTATTATTATTATTATTATTATTAATATTATTATTATTATTATTATTATTATTATTATTATTATCAAAATCTGCCCAGTACCTGCCGAAGCTTTTGATCAATAAGGATCTCATACCAACGATTAAGACTGGAGAATCATTTGAGTATTTGGGACGACACTTCGACTTTAGCATGACTAATGAAAAACATAAATCTAAACTGATCTCCCTCATTGATGAACTAATGTCCGAAATAGATCTTAAACCTCTTCACCCAAAAAACAAAATTTTACTTTACAGTCGTTATGTTTTGTCGAAACTACCCTGGCATTTTACTGTTGCTACGATATCTAAAACTTGGGTAGTCGAAAATATCGATTCTCCGGTGAACAAGTACGTCCGAAAATGGCTGGAAGTACCTATATCTGGAACATTAAGTAACATCTTTCTAACCCGTAATAAGTTTGGTCTAAATATCATCCCTGCATCCGTCAAGTTCATTCAGTGTCAAACAGTTCTATGCAATGCCCTAAAAACATCTCCAAACGATTCAATTAACGAACTGTGGAAGTCAACTAATAATCATACTAACATTCAATACGATAGCTACAATTCAACTAAAGAAGTTTTAAAAACTTTCCATTCTCAACAAGAAAATAAACTTAGGGACCATTTGAAATGTCAAGGTTACTTTTTCGAAAATGTTTCTAAATTCTCCCTATCACAACCTAACGCAATCTGGTCGGTATTGCAATCAAAGCTACCAAAGAACATTTTCAACTTTACAATTCGCTATAGGAATTATTAATACCCTTCCTACCCGAACGAACCTCAGTAGATGGGGAATTTCATCAAGTTCTGACTGCTCGTTCTGCTTACACCCTGAATCACTTCTGCACGTTGTTGCCGGTTGTCAACATTACTTGGAACGATTTACTTGGAGACACGATTGCATACTAAAGTCTCTTGCAAAAACCTTTCAAAGTTTAAACGAATGCAAATTACTTGTTGATCTTCCTGGATTTGAAAGCCCCTCGATTATTACGGGTGATGAATATCGTCCTGATTTACTTGTCTCCACTTCAGACAAACACCTCTACGTTGTTGAACTTACCGTAGGCTTTGAATCAAACCTCACAAACAATGTTAACCGCAAGAAAGCTAAATATAAGAACCTAATTAGAGAACTAGATCAAAACTTTACATCTGTTAAATTTATAAATCTTTCAGTCAGTTCGTTAGGGGTGTTTGACAAAGAATGCCATACATTCGTAAAAATGCTAAATGAGTTAGGACTGGATAATCAACACCAACAATATTGTATCAGAAAAATGATATCTATTGCCATCCGATCAACGTACTACATATTTTGCTGTAGAAATAAAGAATGGACAAATCCCGAACTAATGAACATTTAAAGTAACTATTTCTATAAATAATTAACAATTTTTGTATATAAAACTATAACCATGTATAAGTGATTCAAGTAGTCAATTGTAGGTTACCTCAAGAAGTGAGATTTACAATTGTATATATCTATAAATGTTCTATTAATAAAGTTTTCATTATTATTATTATTATTATTATTATTATTATTATTATTATTATTATTCTCCGCGATTAGTCCAAATAAAACATTCAACATCCCAAGTTGGATCCCAAAATTTGCTTCTCCTCAAACGCCTTTTAACCTTGAGCCCCCGACCTATCAAGAGATTACAAACGTCATCCGTAAAATGAAACTGTCTGGCTCACCATGCCCACTTGATCAGATATCAATAATCTGTTTTAAACGATGTCCGTATCTACGTTCCTACTTAACCGAGATAATCCATGCAGCTTGGTCACGCGGTGTTGTTCCATCTGAATGGAAAAAAGCATGCACAATATTAATTCACAAGAAAGGAGAAACGAACGACCTAGCAAACTTTCGACCAATTACACTTGAATCCATCCCGCTTAAAATCTTCACATCATGTCTTCGTAATAAAACATTTGAATTCCTCTCAGACAATAATTACATAGAACAAAACATCCAGAAATGTTTCACTCCAAAACTCTCAGGAACACTAGAACATACTGCTCAGATGGCACATATAATCAACACAGCGCGTACGAAGCAACGATCTATAGTTATTACATTACTCGATCTTAAAAATGCATTTGGCGAAGTCCATCATAACCTCATTTACGAAGTCCTTGAATATCATCACGTTCCTAATCACATAAAGAACCTTATCTGCAGTCTTTACACTGATTTCCAAACTTCCATCATAACTGAACAGTTTAACACCCCCTTCATTTGGCCATATAAAAAAAAATAGTTGGTTAGCGTCCTTAGCTTTTGCCAAAAAGTGGGCGGGCGGGCGCTTTTTTTTTTTAAATTTTACTAATTTTTAACGCCTTGGTTTTACTCACTGTTAGGTCCGAAACTGGATTTTCTTGCGCAGTACAAATATTTTTTTATATATTTCAAAATATAATTCATACCGTCATTTTCGCACGCAATTTCGCAAATTATTAACACAATTGACTACAGTCAACAGAAATACTACATATATTAGAGCCCGTTGATCAATAAAAATCGGATTTTTTTTAAATAAAAAATAAAAAAAAATCCTGAGCGGGGCCTTTTTTGTGGGCGGGCGGGGACGCTAACCAACTATTTTTTTATGTGGCCTTACAGTCGGTCGTGGCGTTCTTCAAGGCAATTGTCTCAGTCCATTATTATTCAACATGTCATTCAATACTTTCATACAACATATAAAATCTGAAAAATACCGTCAGCTTCGATTTTGGAAATTAAGTGAAATTGGCATTCCATGCAATCCCATACATTGGTTTCAGTTTGCAGACGATGCTGCTGTCATCAGTAGCCAAGAGAAAGAAAATCAAATGCTCCTTAATCGTTTTACAATCTGGTGTCAATGGGCTAATATGATTATACGCGTTGACAAATGTTCAACATTTGGCATTAAAAAACAATTAACTAAATCTATCTAGTATTTACCCAAGCTTTTCGTTAATAACCATCTTGTACCCAGAACCGAAATGGGCAAATCTTTCCGTTACTTGGGTCGCTATTTTGATTTCAATATGTCTGATGAGGAACACAAATCAGAATTACTCGATGTGTTTAATGACATCATGAATAAAATTAATGAACTACCCTTACACCCGAAAAATAAAATTCTCCTATACAGTCGTTACTTGCTGTCAAAGATATCCTGGGACTTTACTGTTTTTGATATATCTAAGACCTGGATCTGCGAAACGTTAGACGGTATTGCGTCAAAATATATTCGAAAATGGCTGGAACTTCCTGTCTCTGCTACCCTAAGCAACGTGTTGCTTCCACAAAGTAAATTTGGTCTGAATATTATTCTCCCTTCGACAAAATTTATCCAATGTCAAAATGTCTCTCGATCAGCTCTAAAATACTCACCAAACGTAGATATTAACAATCTATGGGCGGTTACGAGCACCAACAAGAACATACAGTATGACATTTACAAGGACACAAAAGACGTACTTAAGGCAGTTGTTAGAAAAGAAAATGAAGAAAGACTTCAAAACCACTTCATTTCTTTCTTTTCCAGTATCATGAATAATTCCACATCCACATTCAACTCTTTATGGTCATCCGTTCAGAGTAAAAACTTCAAAAAAACATTTTTAACTTCACCATCCGGTATATCAATAACACACTTCCAACACGAAAGAACCTATCAAAATGGGGACTATCATCCACATCCGATTGCTCTTTCTGCTCCTCACCTGAAACGCTGCTTCATGTGATTGCTGGGTGTAAGACATATTTAGACGAAGGTCGGTTTACATGGCGACACGATTCGGTTTTAAATTTCCTCGCATACTCTTACTGCTGTGCAAAATTCCACACTTTACGCGGACATTCCTGACTTTATGAATCCATCTGTTATCACGGGAGATCGTTTACGACCTGACCTTCTGCTGGTGACTGGGGTTAGGGTAAAACGCTGATACGGACGGACGGACGGATGGGCGGACAGACGGACGGACGGATGGGCGGGCGGACGGACGGACGGACGGATGACCTATTTTTCTCTAAAATATGTTTTAAACATCATATCCGCGTTTTACCCGATCGGGTAAAACGCGGATATGGTGTAAAATATGCTTTTCGGCTCTTTCAAAGGCATATCCGCGTTTTACCCGATCGGGTAAAACGCGGATATGGTGTAAAATATACTTTTCGGCTCTTTCAAAGGCATATCCGCGTTTTACCCGATCGGGTAAAACGCGGATATGGTGTAAAATATACTTTTCGGCTCTTTCAAAGGCATATCCGCGTTTTACCCGATCGGGCAAAACACGGATATGGTGTAAAATATGCTTTTCGGCTATTTCAAAGGCATATCCGCGTTTTACCCGATCGGGTAAAACGCGGATGTGGTGTAAAATATGCTTTTCGACTCTTTCAAAGGCATATCCGCGTTTTACCCGATCGGGTAAAATACGGATATGGTGTAAAATATACTTTTCGGCTCATTAAAAGGCATATCCGCGTTTTACCCGATCGGGTAAAACGCGGATATGGTGTAAAATATGCTTTTCGGCTCTTTCAAAGGCATATCTGCGTTTTACCCGATTGGGTGAGAGCCATTGAACTATAAATAAACTGGAAGGCTAACTGCTATGATGAAGGCCTATGATCTTATGAAGCCAAAATAGTTTTTCTGAGTTATGAGCAGAAATACTTGACCCCAAACGACGGGCTATATATCAAATTGAAGCTATTGAAAATTGCTATTCGGTGTGGAAATTTCAAGACTTCAGCGAAAAGAAAAATATTTTAAAAATACAAAAACAACTGCAAAACGGCAAATTATCGGTAATTATGTTTGTAGTTTTTCAATATTTCCTTTTTAGCTAAAGTCTTGAAATTTCTACACCAAATAGCGTTTTTCAATAGCTTCAATTTGATA